GGCGGGGGTGGCTATGGGGGCGGCTCCTTCTGAAGGGGGAGCGCCTGGCCCCGCCGTGGGGGCGGCCCGGGAGAGCCCTCCCTTTGTTACGGGGCAGCTGGGGAACGGCTTCTCCCTTCGCTCCTCGCCGGAGGGCAGCTCCTGCACCCCTCCCCTGCTGGGGGAGCAGCTCCTGAATGCCCCCCGGGGGCCGCCTCCGCCGCCCGCGCCACTTCGCTCTCTCTGAAGATGGACTGGGCCCCCCACACACATACTTTGTGTTACAGTCATTGATGGACTCTATTTTTTTATTATTACTTGGACCTTGGTCGTTTTTATACTAGCAACAAAAATGGTTTTGTTTCTGTTCTTTTTTTTTTGTTGTTGTTTTTTTCTTTTTGTTGCTTTGTTTTGTTTTCATTTTGTTTTGTTTTTTTTTCCTTTCAGGGGTGGGCAGCGGGGTGGGGAAGCGTCTTGCTGATCCGGAGTAACAACCGGGGGAGGGGTTGGGGTGGGGGGGGGAAGCTTTCTTTGTTGTTAAGGACTCGATACCTGGCGACATTTTTTTTCTACAAAAATCGACTCAGATCCCATGACTGAAATTTAACATTTCTGTAAAGGAGGAGAAAAAAATAAGAAAATCGTTTTTACGTTTTTTATTTTTTAAATAAATCATTGTGTTCATTGACCTTTACATGTCTAATTTTTTTTCCTAGGAACTATTCCGTACGGTTTAGGGCTTTTCTGGGTTTGGAGAAAAAAAAGGAAAAAACAAAAAAACAAGTGTTCCTCTACTTTACAATCTCTGTGTATCTAGAGTAAATTTTATTGCCAGTAAAGGTCCTGATTTGACTTTTTTTTTTGCTGTCCCAGTAGTGGATTTATTGGTTTTCAGACATTCAACAAACAGATTTTTTTTTTTTTTTTGAAGTACTAACTGGTGGACGTGGTCTGTTTTTTAAATATTCATTCTCACTTATGCAGTTTGTGTGCATCCACCATCTTGTACTAGGCATTTTGACGTGCTGACATGGTTGGTCAATTTTTTCTATAGGACTTTTCCATCAACGTATGTACTGTGTAGTTTTGAAGAAATAGTTTGTGTTTAAGCATGTGCTTCATTCATATAAATTGTTCTCAATTTCAGATTGCTTAGTTTCAAGTCCTCTTATTGGCTTGTCTGTAAATGATTCCTCACAGGAAAGGGTCGACATCTGTCCCTTTTATTAAATGCCTACTTGTTTTCATAGTACCCAGTTTAAAACAGACTTTTCACTCTCTGAACTATTGTCCTTCATTACAGTTCCCGGAGAATCCTTTGCAGCACCACCTACTGGTAGGATGGCAGAACCGTTTCTGTAGGCCTCATTACAACAGAAGCAAAATTTGCTAACTGTACTAGATTTTTTCTTTTTTTTTTTTTAAAGCTGTTTTATGCCATTAGATGATTGGTGTAGACTGAAATAAAAATCAAATCTGCATGTGACTACAGATGGGCTCCCTGAGTATTGACTGAAACAAATAGGTTTGAAATACCTGCCTCAGCACATTTGTAGAATAATTACAGTTGCCCATCTTTCAAAAGAAGTGATAATCTAAATTGTTTGGGCAAAGTGCTATGATAAATGAGCCAGCTAAGTGTACCAGTAACATAGGTGCCAGTTGTAAAGCAAAATATTTGTGTAGTCTGCTTGATTAACAAATGTATATTTGTAGCCCTTTTACGCAATAGAATTAAAGTTTGTTGTTAATTAAAAACAGAAAAGCATAATGTTTTAGAGGAAGCTGCCTTCCTGGATAGAACTATAGAATAGCAACGTTTATGGGTTTATGGATATCACAAATAAAGAATTGAATTCCTTACATGCTTGAGTGAGAGTATGTATGACATGGGGCATGGATTAAAATTTTTATGTAAAGTTACTTTGAGTCCATGTTTCTAAGCATTTTAATGTTATAAAAATCCGTGCTTTTTGTGACTGTCAGGCCATTGAAGTCAGTGGCTAAAATCCTTTTAAGTGGGAGTTGCATTGGGGTCTAAAAAAAGAGGCCTAGATCTGCAAAGGTGCTTGGGGTCTAATAGGCACAGAAGTAATTGGGAGTTAAGTGTCTAAAATACCTCCTATGGATCTGGGCCCAGACCTTCTTTGCATGAGTGTTTAAACTAGATTGCATTGTGTTGGATTAAGTTCTTACAGAGGACTGGGTGTATATATAGTCTTCTAGAAGACTGAAACAAAATTTACTTTAATTTGATTCCTAATAGGAATAAGTTTGGCTCCCAGTGAAATGAGCATACTTTACTTGAGTTCCCTGTATCCTTTTAATCCGACACTTTAAACTGGTGCACCTTTTTTTGAGTAGGTCAGACTTATTCTTAGTGTGTAGAGAGCTAAGTTGGCCTCTCAAAAGAGTATTTTCCACATCTTCTTTTTGTCAGCAATTATAACTTAAAGGGCATTGCATGGAGAAACTTTGGGGCTTTTGTTTTTGTAAATAGGCACTAAGTAATTTGACAAGACTTGCAATTATATTGCAATTTTTCTGCCTACTGCAAGTCGAGCATCTATTGTGGAATTGGATCAGCATAATGGAAAACTTGTTCTGTGTAGTAAGCATTCATAATTCTCTCTCTTAAATTATGAAGGGCCATGGATATTTTCTTATGGCTGGCATGATATTTAAATATGACAAAAGCTGTGTGAATTAGGTAAAGACTACAGAAGTCCAACCAAACAAATCCGTGTTTAATAAGCATTGGCAAAACATTACATTTTAGTAGGCTTTACCAACTGTCATTGCCAAAAAAGATGCTTGAGTTCCTGTTTTGTTTTGTTTTTTTTTTTCCTTATGCCCATGTAAGTTTGAAGATGCCTGATAACCTTTGCACTGTAGAAACATGTTGAGGTTGGGGGATGGACCAGCTGCATAGAGCACAGCTGTCTGTACTACAGTTCAACAAAACTCCAGGATCACTTGGTTGAAGGTCAAAGTAAAATCAGGTTCAGTCCCTTGCAAACTAAATTGCCTTAATCATGTTATAGGACAGCTTTGTATGGGTGGGGGACAGGGGATACCTTTCAAGGCACTTTCAGTGTAAAGTGGTCCTTAGATATAGCTAAGGCAAATGCTACACAAATGGCACCTGAGATTAAGAAACTTTCTGATGGAGAATCCTAGCCATGAAACAAGCCAGCAACTTTTATTTATTTTTTTCACTTTGTGTGCAAAATCCAAAAGGTTGGCCAATGGTTAACTTGTTGATCACGAGAATTGCTGTCTTGGGTTGTCTAACGCCCTTGTAACACTTATCTGTTGAGTCCCAGAAATTGCACCTATACTCGGACAGGTAATCATTTTCTTGATATTGCATGTGTGCTGCATACGCCCTAAAATTAGCAGTTCTTGCTACTTTTTATTAACAGTTCAGAGTTGCCCCTAAAATATTCAGTGGTGAATATCTCGCATATTTGGCAGTTGCTCTACTATGATTATGTGCCTTTTACTTTCCTTAGAGACCAAGAGTACCAGTGTTGTAAATGAACCTACTTTCAGCGGTTCAACTAAACAAGCTTAGGGTAAGCTTGTGGAGAGGTGGTGATATGGGGTTGTATTAAAGAGGCAGCAAACATACTTCCTGTCTGCTTGAAAATATTTACCTAAATATTGGATTGATGATTACTTTTAACTCCATTTATTTTTATTTTTTGATAGCCCTATCTTTATCGGTAAATTATTGGCAAATGAACAAGTACATCGTTTAACAACAGTGGGGACTTGCTGCAAAATACCTGAAGCATGGCAATAGTGTGCCTGCTCTTACCTTTGCTAGGTTCAAAAAGTAAACTGGAGCAGTTTATTTTCAGTAAAACAGGGTGATGCCTTTATGTCCAAGGCCAGTCACTGCAGGGTAAGAGCAGTGGGACAGGTAATGCACAGTAAATCCCCTATCCTGTGCAGTCTGAGAGAGGTGTGTCTATACTTGTCTTTGTTTCCCCTTGCAGAAGTCCTGGGCAGTGGGGGGCATGGGGTAGGCCAGCCAGGGACAAATCTGAGCCTGTGCTTATCTACTTCTCTCAAACCTCTGGGCACTCTTCAAAACATCTGGTGGTACTCTGGTTGCCAGTCACTGGCCTAAGGACATAGGAAAGTTGAGGTGAGTGAACTAAAATTGTAGCTGTAATGTGTATCAAGCCCTCCATGGATATTTTCATTCAGAAGTGGCCTTGGTTTTATTTGTTTGCAGTTCAAATCAGAGAGGAATATTGGAATATAAAAGTACCCATTAAATTAAAGAAACCAATCTGCGAATAAAGCTTTGTGACTTGGAATATTCCATTTCAGTAATGGATATAGGCTATGTTGTGTTTGTTATAAATGTGAAACAGTTTAGTTTTTTTTCCAAGCTGAGTAAGGGACAGGGTGTTCTTAAAAAATAGACTAAATTACAAACTTTAATTCCTGTAGTCTGAAGAAACTTAAAAAAAAAAAAAAAAAAAAAAGTTTGTGTGGGGGCAAATAATAGGAGACAGCGTTATGTCCTGTTTTTGGTGACTGCAGCCTGTATCGTGTGATGTGCAAGTGGTAGTTTAAACCCCTGATTTGTTTAAAAGAAAAATACAGTAGCCTATTCTGGTGCTTTTAACTTATCCTGGTTACTTTAAGAATACAGTAGATGTCTGTGGTCTTTGTTACTGGTGTGATGCAGAAATGACCAAACTAAAAGAAAACATTGCTTAAGCACACTAAGCTGAGGGGAGGGGGGTGCAGCAGAAGCAAATGGGCTTTGTCTACACTGAAGACCCCCGCTGAGGTTCAGTGCACTTGGTGTCCATGACAGCCCTTTAGATTTGTCCCCTGTTCACACTCAAAATGTCCTAAAAGGTTGTGGCTGCAATGTTTTGAGTAATACCTTCCTTACCAGCTCAACCTCCAGTGCATTCTGGGTGGTGGTAGGCCACCAGCAAGCATTGTGGAATACTATTAGGGGGTCTAGTTGAACCGTTTCACTTAATCTGTACTTGCTCTCGCCTAAAGATGAGTAAGACAAATGTAAGAAGACCTAGTTCTCCTGAAGCATGTTAATTACCAAAGGTTGTTATCCCTGTCCCCTCCCTCCCCATCATTTGGAGCATCTTTATATAGCGGATCGGCCTTTTTCGGTTAAAAACAAACAAACATCAATAACTGTGAAATATTTTTAAGCAAAACAATCTTTCAGCTTGTAGATATATGTAGTAAATTAGCGTGGTCAAAAGTACGCCCAAAAAACTTGTATTCTTTAACCACAAATGCAGCTTACTACGTGAGTCATCTGTTGCCTGATGCATAATTTTTTTAAATACATAAGATGAGTGGTTTACCTGTTTGCTGTTTCTAAAAGTTAAGAGAATATGTTTCTGCATTCACTGTAAAATATAGGGCAGATAGTGATGCAACAAATGGTTACACAGTGTTAAAAGCTAGTTTGGTACCATGATTTGAATATGAACATTTTACATTGTTTTAGACCATTTACTAATTAACACTTGTATCACTGCACACACATCAGCTGTTTATTTGAATATTGGCATTTTTACTACAATAGAATTTGATGCAAGGGTTACTGCTAATTGCTTTTTCCCCTGGAGTAAGTTTATTCTTTGAATCAAATGGTTATTGTAAAAGCTATGCTTTCTCTGAGAAATTTCTGTGCATCCTAGATTGGGATTTTTAAAGGAGGCAAGGGAGTCGGCTCTTTTTCTTGGACATTCCTTAGGCGACACTGGCTTTAATTTTCTTCCTCTAAAAACTGTTTGTAGTATGGTATTTCCTTAGTTTGGAAAAAGGGGAGGAAGATTTATAGTTACTCTTGAACTGAGATCTCAGCTGGCTTCATAGTTCCAACAGCCCTCTAATACTCACTTTTCATACTCATGAACTTATCACAGATTTTCAGACTGTACCTACAATAAGGAATTAAATAAAAATCCCATTAGAGGTTGCACAGATTCAGATTTCACCCGTGGGAATCCTGTATTTAACAAAGTGTGGCACTACTTGAGCTTTAAACCAGGCTACTGCTGCTGCATCTGAACTGGCAAGAGTACCTTTTGGACCTCTGCCGAACACCTTTTGTAGTCTGGACCTTAATATCCTTTATTGCTGTCGGAAAAGCAGCAGACTTGGAGCACTAGATACCGCAGATGGTCAGCTATCCAAATAACTAAAACCAAAGCTTCTTAGGTTTGGAAACTAGATACCAAAACCAGTTAGACTAATATAATCTATTTTGAAGCTTCCAGCTGTTATCCCCCTGAATTCTGATTTATAGAATGTCATTCCCAGCTATGTTTATAGATGGGCAATGTTTAATTAAAAAAAGAAAAGAAATTGGCACATTTTTTCACTCAAATATCTTAAGCTGTTTACTGGGTTTAATCTTTTGTATGTTATAGGCACAAATCTGGAAACCTGCCTGCTTTAAATGTCCATTGCTCTTTCCTATGTATTAGGAAATCAATAGCACTTGTAAAAGTGAATCTGTGTAGCTGTTAATGAGATGTGATGCATAGTTGCTCAATGTCATCAAATACAGGACTGGCTGATGAACATTCCCGGAACTGTCCTTCCAAATGAGGTGAAACAATAAATCCAAACCAATTTAGCAGTTCAAATGTTGGATTCGTTTTTTATACGATAGGCAGCTGTTTTTGTGTGTCATGGAAGCTCCATCTTCCATTTAAGCAATGGACAGGATGGTCTTTCTTAAAGCTTATATCTTAAAAATATACGGCTCACAATCCAAGAATTTTAAAGACTATATCAAACAATTCCAGCAATATACCCATCTGTGCCATGCCGGAGGCTTGGTATGCCACAAGTAGGACGCTGTGAAATGATATATTCATTAGAAGACTTAGAGGTAATTGTCCATTTTTTTTCTAATCTTTCAGCTAAAGTTAATACAATAGGTATCGCAATACTGATTAACTGAAGCAGAAGAGTCTCTTAAAATACCTTCACTACAGAGGGAGACTGCATCTAGTGAACTGAAACAGCATGAGAAATCTGAGCCCTCAAATTATGTGACACAAACTTTATAGAGGAATAGAAACCAGGGCTTAGAGTGGGCTGAATCCCAAAATAGAGTTGACAAGGTTTATGATTTTAGATTGAACAATGTCTTATTTGTCTGAGGTCCTGAGCGAGCTCATAAGAGAGTCTTCATTAGGTGTCAGCAGACTACCTGGCAAATATGGATTCAAATAGGCAAAGGAATGTGCCTGTGGAAAAACAGCACCCCCTAAGCCTTTTAATGCTGCACCTGTAGCTTGTATGCTTGTGCTAGGAGTTGCATCATAATGTCCTACCTCATAATGGTCTGCTGAACAAAGCAGTGTGCCCTAGTTTATTTGACATGTTAAGAACGAGAAATGGAAAATAAAATCTAAAACGGAGGAAGGAAACCAGAGGAAATGAGCAACCAAGGGTAATGGTGATTTAGGCCTAGACTCGGGATGTGGCGGGGGAGAGTTTTCTCTAGCATAGATGGACCGGTTTATGCCAGTATGCCAAAATTGCTCTTCAGCACTAGGCACAGGGGTATAGGCTGTAGCTGTGTTGATCTAAGGACATAGGCAGATAAGGAGTTGGTCTAAAAGAAGATATCAGATCTACCCAAAGAACCTTGTCTGCCAGTTAAACTTTCCAGCATGGTTATGATTTGCATCAGTAGCCTGCCCAAACTAAGGAGGGTATTAGTCAAGTCTTAAGGCATTGGTTTGGCAGGGAGCAGCAGACATAACCCTGCACACCTGCAAATTGGCAAACTGCTATGTTCTGCCTCTGAAAAGTTTCCTCCTGCGTGACCTAGCTAAGAGTCAGTGATGCTACAACCCAACAACAAGGCTCTAGACACTAAATCACATCCCCTCCCAGAATGGGGAAACAAGCATCTTCTGCTTTTCTTTAAATTACTTTAAAATGTGTTGTGTGCGCATATGTTCAGTTTAGGGCAAATATATAACCATTAGGGCAATTTTTTCTACAGAGAACATTTTTAGTAGCATTAGCATAGTGTTGATTTATTATCTGGTTTCTTTCACTTCCCTTTGGTCCATTTACAGGAACGTGGACCTCCATCGCCTTCTCCTGAAGCATTTCGTCCTGTTTAGGTATTTATTCACCTATCGTATCTACCCCTTCCCCTCCACCTGTATTTTGTGTTCCCACTGATGCTAATCTTTACTTTGTTTACTCTCTAGTGTAACATGTTCCTGTGATGCTCCTTTTCAGATGACCCCAGTATAGTTACAATATGGATTTAGGGAAGGCAGTTTGCATCTGTGCTGTATTTGGCTGTGGGTGAGGATATTTACTCTTATTTTTTTTTAAATCAAGGTGGAGCAGTAAGAATGGCTTTGCAGCTTAGCTGTTTGTTGTTACTTTGTGCAAGCAGAGCAGTAACTTTTTGTGTTCTAAAATTCATAGCCAGATTCCAATCGTGGCCATTCCTTGTCTTCATAATGTTCTAAATTTGAAGGGTTTGGGGGGTGGGGTGGAGTATCACCATGACTCAAACTATTTAAATATAGAGCAAAGGGTTGATACTGCATATTAGAATCCAGAAAAGTTGCATTTTTGTCGCGGTGGATATGCAGGCTAGTGGTAAAGCAAGATTAACATAACTGTACATCTGCCGCTAGAGGGCAACATTCGCAGTTTAAAAAAAAAACCTCATCTACCATCACTTTTTTTTTCTGCTGCAGCTGAGTCTGGGGTTGCACGGGATCTTTCCGTATTGCCTGTGTAGAAAGAATACTGGACATTTGGAGATAGTTTAATGATAAGAATGTAGGCCTCGTTCACTTGAGTCAAAACCTTTAGGGTGCCGTAATGAATCCAGTGGGTTTATGTCTGACATTTAGGCTGCCAAAAACACACGGACCCCCAGATCTGCAAATATCCTTACTGTGAATCCCTATTGGATTCTCACAAAGGGTGTCCTGCTAATTTGGGGACCTTACAAGGTTATCCTAATCCTAGTAAGAGTTGTTTTGCTGAACATTTTACCTTGGTTTATCCTGGGAAAAAGACAAAAGATAGGCTGACTGCTCTGAAGTACAGCAAATTTGTACAGTAGTACAAATTACTTCTTTTGAGTACCCAAAGATGTGATAAGCATGTTACAAAGGGAATGAAAACATAAGACTTTTGTTTTGGTTCTTTTCCACCTCAAATGTCTCTGATCTTTGGTGCTTGAAGCTTTGGGCATTCAAACAGACCCATTTGCACTTAGTACTGATCACTCTTGATTCCACTTGAAGTGCAGTGGAGTTGCTGGGGCTGAGGACTTCTGAAGATCAAGTCCAAGAGATCCCTCACTGGGCTCTCCAGTATCAACTGGCTGCTTTCAATGGTTGCTTTTGAGCTGATGCTCCCTGCTCTAAAGCTTACAATCTAAGTGAGACCCATTAGACTTTCACCAATTGATTCTTTACTGGTAGGGATCACAGATGCCAGAAGTTAGAGAGACTTTTCTAAATAAAAATACTTTGAGCAGCCAAGACTTGAAGATGCAGACTTGGAATTGGTGCTACATGTTGAGTCAGAATGTGCCAGCTTTACACACATGCTTCAGGAAACCTCCAAACTTTTTGACTTGCTAATTACTTGGAACACAGTCATGAGAAAATTCCCATCACGAAGCATGAGTAACTTCTGGACAGCGAGTAAAATATCTTCATTTTCATGCCCCTCAATCTTGTAGGAAGTGGCAGGCAAAGTTTTTTGTGCCAGGCACAACTTTTACAAGGCTCTATAAAGGCAATCGCTGCTTCCTTGACTGTATCTTTGTCCCAGCCCAGCACTTGCTACCCACTGAGTGCTCTAGTCTTGCCATTGGTACTAGACTAGGCTACATAAGGTGAGGTCTTCTGTCAGTGGCCTTTAAACTCAGAGGCGGGTACCTTGTGAGTTAGTAGTCACTTGTGTAATACCTCTGTGCTGCTCAGGGGCTTGGCAGAGGACACTAATGGTGGAGCCTACCTTTGCTCCTTTTGTCATAAGTGGGGAGCTTTGCCATTTTGCATTCAAAGAGAAGGATGAGAGCTCTCATTTCACTACTGCTTTTAGTGTTGTTACTTTTGCTGTTTGCTTTTATGGCTTTGGGCTGTGCTCTAGGGGGATATGACTAGATGGGCACTAGTAGGATCTGAGTTAAAATCTTCCCACTGATCCCGTCCAAAGGGAACATCTGGGCAACCTTCTCCTCCGGTCTGCAGAATCCTGTATGAAATTCTGGTTGTGTTTGTCTGTAAGGAAACAGGCAACATTGTTTAAACTGCAGGACTAGGTGGCAGGAGCCTTAGTTGCTATTCCCAGCCTTCCTTCATATACTATGTGACATTGGCTGACTTAATTTCCCTATGCCTAAGTTTAGAGTAGAGATGACAAAATATAGTTTTACCTCTGTTATATTTGCACAGGTTCTTGGGTAGAAGGCACTGTAGAAGGGCAGCTTATTAAATTATTATCATGGATAAAATTTAAAAGAAATTGAACTAAGGTAAAAATGAGTGAAGGTACCCAGCAGAGTGCCTCCTATTAGGGTGGAAGTTTAAAAGGCTAGGGTTATATCATTTAAAAAGGAGATGGAGTATTACATGGTTTGGCCAAGGCTTTTGGACACTTCTGCACATCTCTTTCCACACTACGAGAGCACTGAATGAATGGAAAAGCAAACAAGAAAGCAAATTCTCCTCTGCTCTGTACAATTAACCTTTGGAACTTGTTGCTACAGAACATGATGGGGGGGGGGAAATAGCTTTGGAAAATTCATAGATGATTATAAGAATCACTCCTGCAATTACGTTAGGTGGAATAAAAATAGGAAGTGTTGTCAAAACCAGTTCTGGTGGGCTCAAACTGACTGCTACCATCTGGAGTCTACAAGAAACTTTGATTGAATAATAGATAGGTTGGCCTGGCAGAATATGCATATTATATGTAACTGTGAATGGATGAAACGTACACCATTGGTCTTTTGTTAGGAAATGATTAACAGCCAAAATTAATGGACATACAGCATATACACACTCACTCTATAATACACTGCTAATGGCTCCAGTGCTCTCTTAGAGTAACATCCAGCTAAGCTACAGGTAATGTTTTGGCCTTGACTTTCCCGGTGTTTGCCTTCTGTCTGTGATGCGAGCGTGTGTGGAGTGGTGCTTGTGCCCGGGGCCCAGGGTGCAGCCCCGCAACCCCTGTGCTTGCCTTGTACGCGGTGGAGCTGCATGATCCTGACCTGACTCCTCTGCCGGCGCTGGCTGCTCTGGTGCCAGCAGAGCTCCCTGGTGGTCTCTGCTTCAGAGGCTGTCAGGGAGGGAGTGCTCTACGCAGAGCTGTTGCCCCACAGCCTCCTACCATTCCCTTGCGGAGCAGCATCCGCGTTGCGCTCCGGGGGATGCAACCAGAGGAGCACTTGGAACTACTGAGCAGGCGTGGAGTTAAAGGGAACATCTGGGGAACCTGCTCGTGCATCTTCAGCTTCCCACGTGAAATCCTGCCTGTATCCCCGCGTCTCTATGGAGAGGCCAAACCGACCCTTGACCCGTTTATCCATTTTGCCGGCGTCTGGGATTATTCCCGGTGCATCTGTCGCAGCAGGCGTTGGCAGGCGGGGACGCGCCAGATGGCAGCGGGTGAGGAGCCGGCCGGCAGCAAGGCTGCGGCATGGTCCTAGGAGACCGGGGGAGATGCAGGCAGCAGGACTGTGGGTTTTTTTGTTAATGTTTTGGGCCAAATCAGTTCAGCTCAATCCTTGGAGGCTGCGGCACGGCCCTGGGCCCGAGATGCTCTCGCATCCCTGGCAGGCATCTTGCGGGAGAGGCTGGAGGCCGCGGCGGCCCGCTGCCCCTTCCTCTGGCTCGGGGAAGCCCCCCTAGCCACGGCCCTCTCGGCTCGCCCCGGCCGGGTGGGGGAGCGGCCCGGGCCCGGAGCTCGCCTCGCCGCCGCCGGGGGTGGGGAG